TATGTATGCTGTGAACCTCAGCTCAAAATAACCCTGTGTTTAGTGACTGAACTATTTTAAAAGAATCAATAAATTACTTGGTACATAATGTATTAGATATTAACTTTTCATGTTTTTTGCACTTTCAACTGTTTCACAAAACACATTCATCTATGATAGTGGGGTAGCTGATGGATTATCATCTAACCTGGTACTCTGGTCTCCAGGTGAACTTATTCAGTAAAAGGTGATACACTGTTTAAACATTAACAATGGATATTGGGCTGTGCAGTTTCAACCTGAAATATGCTCTGTAGGAGTCTTGAAATCAAAGATGGGCCAAAAATCCCATTCTGAGATTTTTCCATTATAAATCCCCAAGAACAAATGCAAAATTAAGAACCCCTTTCAAGAACAATCACAGACTAGATCTACACAGGTCTCAAGCTAGCAATATTCAAGATTAATGGTACAACTGGCACATCCTGCCTCCAGTGTGCTAGATAGAAGTGTTGAGCTACATTATTTCCACATTGCTTACATGACCACACCTGCTTATTATTTCAGAACAGTATTTTACATGTCATCTGAAATGTTCTGTAGTACCAGTTTAAGTATTTAATACAAACATACATGACATCTGAGTCTTCAGCACAGATCACTTGTTTTTCCACTTGTGGGTACTTGTACACTTCAGTTAGACAGGACAACAAAACAACTGGGAAAACTTTTAAAGTTAGAAAAGGTAGATCAAAATCCAGATCTGGAAGCTTAGTCAAATGTTTATTTTAACCAGTGAAGCCAAGGAACCTGAAAAAGCATAAAAGTGTTTCCAACAGGGTCTGCAATAACATTTAAATGTCACATTTTTGGTGGTAAGGAAAAAATAAAAACAGACTGCTAGAGAGGAATTTAATTCGCTCATGAGTTGATTAAATAAATGATTGACTAGAAAAAGAAGGGAAACAGAAACTTAATAGAATGTACTCCTACAACCTAAAATATTCTTAATCTTGTCAAAATCTATTTAGCAGGAACTGTTCATTCCTTTCAGAGCCTCTGAAAAAAAAGAAATTGTGAAAAAAGTTATATCATCATAATCCTGACACAAATATGCTCGCTGTAACACTTTTTGACTGAATCTTATGCAAAGCATACCTGTGTACAGCACTTGTTATTCCCCTGGGCTTTCCCTGCTGTAAAACACAAAACACAAGGTTTTCTTTTCACATATTTAAGTTTGTAATTTATGTTGAAATATGGGCTCAGGCCTACCTTCTAAGAAATATCAAGTAAGGAAGTTCTTCAGAACTATCTAAATCTGCATGTCTACTCAACATGTACCACAGCTACAACTGAAAAAATCTCTTACTATATATTTCTTTCAGTATGAGGCTCAGAACAATTCTACAATTGGAATTGTTAAAATATATTTTTTAAACTACTGTGAGGGATATTGCATTTGGTGTTCAGCCACCTTCTCACTGAAAAAGTTCTGTATAGATAGAAATATGCCAAGCAATATTTTTTACCAGAGTTCAACACCACAACCCCTTGCAAGCAGGATCAGTATCTCTTAATAAACCAAAAGCATGTAGGAATTCAAAAGAACAAAAAACAGGGGATAAGCCAGACTCAATTTAAGGACACAATAGTCCCGATACAACAAGAAAAAATACAACATGGAAAAACATGGCTTAGAAAAATCAGAAAAAGAGAAGATACAAAAAAAACAGAACTAGAATTCTGTATGGCAAAAATCATGATCACAAATGGCATTTGGCATTAACAACCAAAAGCTGAAGGACACAGAAAAAAAGAAAAAAAAATCTAATTTCACTAAATAGTAGTAAAGGAAAAAAGGAAGCACCGTGCCTATACTACAGCACTCTTCACATATAACTTTAGTTATAACAGATAAATTAATCTACTTATTACAAGTCCAGACCCTCTTTTATTTTAACCATCTATTGAATGAAGGGCAATGTGGTATACATAAGGATCTGGGTAATAGTATCTTGATGATTGTGTCTCATCATCATATATCTCAGTCTATGGATCTGTTCTTGAATTGTAATCAGCTGATTTTAGTAGCTTTGAAAAGTGTGTAAGTTTTTATTACACACTTAAAGGTAACTAAGTAAAATAATTTACTTTACAAATTTAAAGTTCTGCATCTAACCTTTTAGTTAAGCAAAAACTATAACAAAGGGAAAATATAGAGTAAGTCTCTTTGCCAAACAGTTCAAGCCCTATAATGAAACTGTAAAGATAAAAAAGTAATAAAGTTGCCACTGTAAAGATAATTGGATTGTTAAATGGATGTGATTTATACAATCAGCTAAACAATTTAGATGATACTACTTAACTATACTCAACTAGTATAGTTAGCTAAACTTGCTATACTTAACTCTATTAATCTTAATACTCCACATTAATATAAATTAATCAACACATAATCTATTACAAAGTATACTGTATGTAATGCACTCAAAAAGAAACAAATTTCTCATTGTTCACAGAAAGTTACCTCCAATATACTATAACAAGTAAAACCCCAAAAGAAAAAAAAATACCAGCAGACATGCAGAAAAATGCAATCTTAATAGTTTATGTATTAACCCTGCAGCATATTTTACATGGCATTTAAATTTATACACTGAGCCCAAACTGGCTCCCTGCCATTTGCTTCATTATGTATGTAAACAGCTCACCTACTGGAATTAATTCTTGTGGTCAGCCATTTATTATCCACAATGTAAATTGGGGTCCTTACTTCAGTCTTACACATTGCATGAATGACAGTTCTTTCAGAATCAACTTTACAGAAGCAATGTAAGCCTCTGTAAAGCACCATGAGAGCCCGACTGTATCCTGTTCACTGTACCACTGTACCACTTAAAAAACAAAACAAGGACAAGAAAAAATAAAATTTTCTCATTAGCTCCCTTTGCATCACTGCTGTTGTGAAAACAGAAAATCCCTATATTTGCAGAACTTGAACAAGAATTATCAACAAAAAACATTCAGCAGATTGATTTACTTTCCAGTGTATTCAGGAACACGCACCATGTACAGTATCTACAGAACAGCTAAATCTGTAAACTCCCAATTTACAGCTCTAACCACTAGGTGACACTGCCACCTTTACTACCACTGCTGTAGAAATTCTACTTAGAAACGTGGCTTTCATTTCCCTTTAATAAAAAAAATGATTTAGACAAGGCAACCTAACTCATAATATATTTTTATAAACACACAAACGTTCACTGTTCAGCCTTAAAGTGAGGTTTGCAAGTCTTTTTGAAAATTTTTCTCACACCTCTGTTTTGTTCAAACTGAGGATAAGGGAATTAAACTACATAGTGCTATAGGAAGAAACATCTTTTTTAAATAATCCATGAATAAAAGCATTTTGGCAAGGTTTCACTTATGGTGCTACAGAGTACCTATTGGGAAGCTAAAGGAACAACAGTGTGAGGAACTACATTTTACAGATCATTCAGAACTCCTTAACTTAATTTCATTGGATAAACATCACAACTGGAGCCTGGAAAGTCACCCCAAGTGGTTCCCACCTTCTGGGACGATAGTGCTTTAAGACTGGGCTCAGCAGATTGCAGTGTTTTTCTTTCCTCTGCCCCCTAGCTAGGGCCACAGTGATAGATTCCAATCTACAGCCACAGCCCCAGCCACTCTGTTCTGGGACTAGACTGCAGGCATGTCGAATCAAAACCCCAAACGATCAATGGCCGCTGTTTAAGTTTACAGTCCCCTGCTGGGAGTAAATATTGTTTTGAAAGAAAAAGCTTGTCAAATACTACATCACTTCATACCACCCCCTTCACCACCATCACACCCGTTAGTGTCTCTTCAAACCCAGCAGAATCTTTTCCTTTCTCGCCTGCGCCTGTCCTTAACGTATCCATCAGGACGTGTAACACATAATGAGAAAATGGGTATAAAAGAGACATTGATGAAAGGAGGTAAACACTACTGTCCTCTCCCACGGGACTAGTAAGAGTACTCTCGAGAAGAAAGATAATAGGTGCTCGGAGACGCGGACCCTTAGCTGAGAAAAGCTGACAGGCAACGGCTTATAGGGAAACGCACCAGTTGTCACCTAAGTGACAGGCAACAGCTGAGTTCATACATCTGGAGGACTTGTGGAGTCAAACACACCCGAGGTTACACAGCACCGCATACTTTAGCGACTTCACTAATTAAAAGCAAAGCACCACGTCTTTAGGTCTGCGGGACAGATTAATTTGTGTATACAATAAGAAAAAAAATCCCTTCATTACCTGTATATTTGTAAAGCTGTAAAGTAGCGGATTTTTATTTCCAAACTTTTGTGCCATTACGTGTGTTTCTGCGTGAGTCATGTTTTTATTGTTGCTATAAAATATCTTCTAGGCTTGTTACCGTGCTAGTTCATATCCGCCGTTATTAAATACATCTTTTATCACTGACAAAATCACTGCTGTGGGTTGTTTCGGTAAACAAGCACATTTTAAGCCAATATTTCAAGTTATAACACCTTTTCACAACATTAAACACACAAAAAGAGACTGGAAACAACATAATAAAGTAATTAAAAAATATAAGAACGAACACACTCTCCCACTCACAGAGAAACCAGTTACTTTGACACTCTATAAGATCTTCTTAAAACTATCCGGGAACTACGTAACTTTTTAAATCTTTATATAGAAAGAAGTCCATCTTGAAACAAAAATCAAATATTCAGCGATATATACCCACCGGTATGTAGGTTAATACGTATGGTTAACACAAATAGTTACTTTAATAGCTTGTAGTCAAAAGGCTACACAAATTGGACTCTTGGTAACAGCATTGCAATACCTCCTGGAGCTCTTTAAACTAACTGCGAGTGTGAAAGACATTAATGACAGCAGACAAACTGAGCGACGTCCTAAGATGACAAATATAACCGTGAGCTTTCGCTTAGTGTTTTCATCTATTTCTTTAGATAAATAATGTAAACAACTCAAACTCACCTCAGAAGTGTTTGAGCGAGGAATATAAAGTATCCCGAGCCAGCTATTCCTTTATTTGTAGAAGAGAATCACATTTGGTCTCATTAGCTTCAGTTCTGCTGTCCCCAAAGCGAGCTCAGAGCCGCTGCGTCCTGCTTGAGACAGCCCAGTCAAAGTCAGTACAATGTAAATGAAAGCATTTTAGGCAAAGACTGAAGAATGAGGGTCTTGTTAAACTTCAGCTGCACAAGCTGTAGCATTTGAGTAAATAGCTTTCTGTACTGACTCGCTCGTTAATGGGCTGAAGGCTTCATGCACACTGAAATGACATTAACATTACTCCCAGCCTATTGGCTTAAACAAGCAACCCCCACCAATCCTCGGGAGACTGACATTCTTGGTAGTCGGGAAAACGTGGAAGCTTTTTCCCCCAGCGTTTCTTCTGCAAAGAGCAGTTAGGAGTCCAAGAAACAACAAAGTGTTCAAAAGACAGTTGGAGACAGGGTGAATCGTTTAAATTTGTCTTCCCCTTTATCCTGCATAAAAGGACGTGTTCCATATAATCAGATTACATATGTGATTTACTGAACGAGAATAGCGTCGTCTGCCGTCCGAGATTCATTGATGAAGAGAGATGAAAAAGTTTATTTCACACTCATTTCAAAAACGTTGAAACTGAAAAGCCATGCTTTGTAGTTTAACAAATAAAATTCATATGCATTTTAGCGTTGCGCTAATGAAATATTTTCAGATGTATTGAGCCTCTACAGTTACACGTACACGCGGTTACAAAGATATATACATTTTCAGAGAAATACAATGAGACCTTCTGTATAAAATATAGACGGTATATATACAGTTTATTTGGATTCCTCAGTTAATGTTGAAGAACATGCATTTATCTTTACATTTTGTAGTTTCTTGTTTAGCGTCAATAATTCTGGCTGAAAACAGAATTGGAATAGCAAGAGTTCCTTAGTAAAAAAAAATGCCTGATATCTTCATGCCTAGTTCATGCAGAAATTGTTAAACTGTCATTGTAATCAAGACAAGGTCAACCTTCGTGGGTATGGGGCAAAATCCACTATCTTCCTTATGAAACACAAAAATAGAAAACTACACCTGAATCCCATTAAATCATTCACCCATAAAGCTTTATTCACTTTTCCTGGTCCAAGGCAAGGCATTCCTTCAAAACATCTGACCATAAAATCTGTTATTCCTAAATAAAACTACTGATTTAAACTAACTTTAATAACTATAAACATTACTTTCATGTTAGAAACTGTTCTATAACTGTTCTGTAACTCTTTTAACTTATTACTGAAAAAGTATTAAGAGATGAACTGTTGATTTTGTGTAACAAGGTTGTGAGAGCTGGAATGCAATCTTACAGCCACAAATTGTAAAGACACTATTTTCAGTAATGGGTTAATGATTTAAACTAATAAATTATTTATGGATTTCTGTTATGCAACTTTTAAAATAACTTGTTGATGATATTTTATTTTTCATTACTCATAAATAACTCATTTCACAGTATCAAAATAATTGTTATGATTAAAGTATGCAACAATGTACAGACAACCAAGTAAAGATAATTTATTAAAGCATACAATATTGCCTTTCTCAAACACATTATTTTTAAGGATCCATTGAAAACATCTAAAAAAAGTTGTAGTATAAATAAAATCTATCCACCCATTTTCTAAATGCAACTTCAAATTCAGGGTCATGGGGTAGCCAGAGCCCATTCTGGCAAATAAATGGCACAAGGCAGGATGCACCGTGGAGGGGACACCAGTCCATCGCAGGACAGAAAAACAAATACAAACACGCAGAAACTCACACTAAGGGCCAATTTTCCCAGAAGCCAGTAAACCTATCAGTATATTTTTGGACAGTGGCAGAAAACAAGAGAATTAAGAGGAAACCCACACAAACATGGGGAGAACATACAGTACAAACTCCAAAGAGGACTTCACAAGAAAACATAAAAAAACATAAAACTCCCCCCAAAATGGCTCCAAATACAGAAGGCTTGCTTTTGATTTAGCAAAAGTGGCTGCATCATGATTGACCAAACAGTCAAAAAAATGGAATGTTTCCACATTCCCATGATGGTCAGTCAGTCAATTAAGTCCCCATGGGCAAGCAGGTCTGAAGGGCCTGGAACACTCTTAAACACATTTATTTACAGATGATGGGCACCATACTAACAAATAAGCCCTAAAAAACAATGGCCCAGATTAAGTCAAACGTTAGGGCCACCTACCATGTGCAATGTACCAACCCTGTACTTGATGATACGTTTCTACTTGGCAAAGAACAAACTTTTTTAGAAAACTTTAAAGATATCTTTGCAAATTGTAAAAGCTTTCACCTACAGATTATGGCCTACAAGCTTTAACTTCTTAATAACTAGCAGGAGTACATGTACTTCATAAAGCATCTAAATCCATGTTTAGTTGTCTGCCCTAAAATAATCCCATTCCCATAAAAGCTATTGGTAATATGGTAATATGTGACCCAGCTTTTCCCTCTTTAACCTGTCAATTAATCTGCCTAAACTGGCTCTGCCACACAATTGTTTTTGGAAGTGCTGTGTTTGTAGAAACTTGATCAGCTTTAAACTAACTTCAGCTTTTCATTTTTTCTTCAAGCCCCCACGGTATTAGCCCTTTTTAACAAAATTGCTTGCTGCAGTGTGCTTAATCTCATTGTTTATAAATAGATACTGTAACATCAATCCTGTTGGCAGTGGAGCATAAAAGGTAAACTTATATGCAAACCCTGGGAGGAGAAGCATTGATCATAATTCTATGGGGTCAGACAATGGCTATTTTTCTCATCACTTTAATCTTCATTGTAAACAGTGCATGTGAGAAGGTGCAACACCTACAGCTCTGGAAGCAGATGCAAGATTATAAATTTAGCAAATTACACAGAAAAATAATAACAAGCCTGAAACTGACTAATACACATTTGGCAGGCGGGCACATCCCCTTGACAGCAACACACAGAGGTAAACATTAGTAAATGATCCAGGAAGTCCCAGTAGTCCGTTTGGAAAACATTTTCCTTTTCTTTGAAACCTAGTAACAGGTAACCTAGTAACTTCTATGAATTTAGAATTTTTGAGAAGAGTATGGAATAGCTAACACTCCCAGGCTAACCTGGGCAAAAGGATTGTGGTTTTGGACATATATTTTTTTTACAAATGCACCATTTTGTTTTCTAAAATTATTTATATTTGCCTTGAAAAAATGTGGAAAATAATGCAAAGGAGATCAAATCTGAATTCATGGGCTGACTGTTTATTTACTAGATGAATCACAAGTGCTTTGTTGTTTCTCCTCAGTTATGTATTCTAAAGAACACACACTGAGAGACTAAAAACCTATTCTTTGTTCTTGCCTTATAGAGCTTGTCTTTTTTCTCAATACTTGTTGTCAAGCTGATAAAACTCACCAAATTGTGGTAAAGTATTGTGTTCTACTAAATTTGGTGGCTCCTGACAATTACAGTAGCTTAGTCCAGGAACATCCACATGAAGCTTTCTTTCGAATACATACATTAAATTTCATTTTGCAATCTTCATGGCTAGGACAATGAACACTACACCGAAGGGAAATGTATTGTCCTTGGAACTGGACACTCCCTCCCCCAAAACTAAGGGTAAGAAAGCTAGTGAACAGCTTCTTGCCTCACAGTCTGCAATTGGAGACACTGCACATTCCAGCAAAGACTCATTGGGAAAACTACCTTGACTCTCTAATTTACAGCTGTGCTTATTCAGGGATTTTATTTTGGGTTGCCTCAAGAATTCTGAAAAACAATCTCTTCTCTGATGTTGATCTTTTCTCCACCAAAGTAAGAAAACCCATTAGACCCATGATAGCAAAACAGAATCAGAGAAGGAGATACAGTAGTTCTGCTTATTTCTTATCTGAATGAATTTGTGGAAAAATGATTCTATTTTTACTTTTGTATTGTTGGCCTGCCAAAGGGTGCAAAGGCAGAAAATTATATATTTTTTTTCAAACATTTCCTACAAATAACTATCCTTATTGGCCAATGGAAGGACTGGCGTATTACTGTACCTTTATCTTTAAAATTCTTCACTACACTGATTGACAGCTCATGCTTTAATTGGCCAGAAAATTATATGTTCTAATTGGAATGACAGATTTATTCCAAATAAATGTACATAGTTGTTCTGGTATTCTGGGGGCTATTTTTGTGTTTCATTGTATCCATTTCTTGGGGTTCCTTCGGTGTTTGTATCATACATTATAATACCATAACTCTTGTACATCCACCCTTATTTTTGGCTTGTCGGTGTGTGACTACATCTTGATTTGAAATCATGGAATCTAAACTTTGTTTGTTGGCTGGCAATAAGGGTTATAACATAGTAAGAGTCCTTTTCTAGTCACTTTTGTTGAATACATTTGTTTCTGTTTCTTAGATTAATTTTGTTCATAAACAGAAACATGCGGTGGTCACTATTATATTATTGTACAACTATTTCCTGAAAAAAGTTTACTTCTGATATTTCCAACTGATCTTATGTTATTTAACAAAAAGGCATTGAGTGGTGGTGTTTTTTTAATCAATGATGACAAAGTAGATGTTTTGTATGTTATTTGTCAAATGAGGTTAGTTTTATGTACTATTGGGATTTGGTGAGGATAGGTGAAGGTCAAACATGTTTAAATAGCTTAAACCATAAAATCTTATCGGCTTGTACATACTTTTTTCACCACATTGTAGTAATAATATTAAAACTACTTACTTTAGGAAGCCCATTTCAGTCTGCTAAGAGATGTCAAAGTAAACACCATAAAGTCATTGCTTATTCTATGTGTTGAATAAAGCAGTTTAATTCTGCAGTAGTTGATAGAAAGATAAATATGTACATCAGTGGTTTTAACAATGATACTGAATGCCTTTTCTGTCAAATAACAGTAACATTTATTAACTCTTATTTTTGTGCTTTTCATCAGTTTGTATAACCAATGTTTTTGCTCCTGGACTATGTCATGTTTCTGGACTATGTAAGGTGTGAACTCTGAAGGGAAAAATAATTAAAACCCAGCACTGGTTGCTTCTTCGCCAAGTATATTTCTATACCTTCCTTCGGCCTCTAAAACACTTCAAAACATTCACACATTATTTAAATGCATATGATAATGGTGTCAAATTCTTTACTCATACAGATAAAATATACTCGCTCATGATGATAATCCAGTTCTGTATCCATTTGACTTGGTTAAAGAAATAATTTGTGGTACATGTGGCAATTAACCTAATCTTTTTTGAGTGTTT